TTCAAAGGACAAGAAGGATCCATGCACCATGGCACCACTTCCTCCTCCATCGGAGATAGAATCTAACTAGCTTTATTAAATAATTATTCTCTTTATGGGGAAAAATAAGAGGGAACTAACGAGTTCTATTAAAAAAAATTTCTTTCTCCTTTATTTCATGCTAACAATTTCTTGAGAATCTAACGAGTTTTTTTTTTAAATGATGCATTTTAAGTTGGAATATAATAAAAATTAATGAACAATGTATCTTCTGCTGGTAGCAATTCATCCTTCAAAAATACAATCCAACGTATAGGAACGAGTCTTCCCTATTTTACGGGTATCTTATCTCCTTATTGGAAAGATATTTGCTCAATTTACTCAAGTTCAACTCCTTGCAGTCATGTTATCAAAGAAGGGATTCGTTTCGAGCATTGGTAATGGTAGATCCATCATGTTTTGGAAAGATGTGTGGGCATGTAGCACAAACCTCGGTTCAACTTTTCGAGTCTATACGGGTTAGCTACGAAAAAGATTGCAAAGTTTCGGATATGAGAGATTGGTGTAGTTCGGGTTGGTTTTGGAAATACAATTGTAGGAGGGAGCTTCGTGATTGGGAGGTTCAAGAAGTAGAAAGGCTACACCATTTAATTTCAACTTGTTCACCTGAATCTAGGTGTTGGTAATAAGAGGATATAGGCTTATGACATAAAAGGCTTATATACTCGTTAAGTCTTGTTCTTCGACTCTAGATTCGATTCTGCTACATGGTGACTTACATATAATTTCTTATGTTTGGAAAGGCTTAGCTCCCCCAAAAGTAGAAGCTTTTGTGCGGTTAGCGACTCATCTGCAAGTTACGGAAAAGGGATTTTCTTTTTTGTATTAGTCTAGTGGAGTATTCAGCCGACTTATGTCCTTTCCGTAATGATTATCGGGAGTTCGTGTCTCTTCTCCTTCTCTATTGCCAAGAGATTGGGCGGTTGTGGTCTAAAATCTTTCGCTAGTGGGGCTATTCATGGATTGCCTCTAAATGCGTAGACGATCTTTTTCAACGGTGGAGTTTTTATTTTCATGGGCATATGCGAAGAAATTGTGGTTTCTTGTTCTCTATTCAAGCCTATGGTCGATCTAGCTAGTGCGAAATGATCTTATCTTTAATGGTACCACTTCGATTAGGACAACGTTCTTTCTTTGGTTTTTCATAGAGTGGCGCATTGGGCTAGATATATTGATGATCATTTTGTCTATTACGGAAATGATCTTCTTATTAGCTCAAATAAAATCAAAAGATGGATAAATACTTTAAGAACTCGTCATTTGGGCTCGCTGAATCGATAGTTCATTCTTTTATTGTTGGGGTCTAGTTTTGCTATTTTTAGAAATGTTGTTGTTTAATTTGTCTTCTTATTTATATTATCAACTTGTTATTATAGCCACTTTTTAGCTAGCTCTTTTCTCTTTTATATATTGATCGACTTGTATCAAAAAAATCGTCTTAAGAACAATAAATAGTGAGAATAACAAAATCATTAGTGAATTTAGCAATGCCTTATTATTAAAGAAAGTAAGGATTACAACTAGCAAAGAGTATGCCCTAAAATTTCCACATGCCTAGTAGAGTGCTTTAGAAAAAAGATTATGCATAGATACTTAATTATTACTCCTTCGCAATTGATACATGGAGTAAGAAAACAATTAATTAGGCTGAAGAAATTCTAACTTCTTTGCAATTAATTAAAGAAAAATTACACAAAATCGTTAAATTTACTAAAATTGCATACATTTTTTTGATATATATTTTAGTGTGTTGTAGTCTTTTTATAAACAAAACTGCAGCATATGAAATAGACTAAACAGGATATTTGAAATTCTAACTCCTTCTGCAATTAATTAAAGAAAAATTACAGAAAATGGTTAAATTTACTAAAAAGTTTTACATTTTTTTTTTATAAACTGTACTGTGTTTTCATCTTTTCATAATTAATTTTCATATCATCTTGTTGAATTTTGTAGTTTTAAGTTTTAAAATTTATAAGTTGTATCATAAGTTGTTGGCAAAGAAAAAAATTATCCTTTCTATCATCCTTTCCATTAAATTTGATCAAATCGTTAGTTACATAAACAGCCAAAAATAACGAGAGTTAAGAGTTCTGTTCTCTCAATTCTACGATTACCATTTATCATCTTTTACATAACCACACAATTGTCTTTTTAAACTATATATATATTTTTTTTAAGTATACTAACTTAGTCATCGTAGAAACCTTCAACTTACCTGAAGGACTTATTTTGTAGGAATATTAGGCTAATGGATTATCATTTACCATCAATCACCATTGTTGCTTTTTTTTAAAATAACAAAAAAAAAAAAAAAATCATATCATTATCAAATAATATTCTAAAATTCATGATCTCATTATAATATATGATGCTCCAATTGTTCGGAACAACTTTTAAATTAGGGAAAAAAATGTTACATATGGAAACTATTTAGCCACGAGAAAAAGAATTGAAAAAAACAAAAAACAAAAAGAGTGAAATGAACTGAGATTTTGAGCATGGATTGGCAAATCAAATGCTGTAATCTTGTTTTTGTTATTTCCATTATGATTGGAAAATTCAAGGGTGAACCCTCTGTTTGCTTCAGAAAGGGATGCCGACCTTCTCCATTGACAAACTAATCTAAACAATCTACATTTACCGGGTAATAATTGCTGTAATTCCATTAATATAGGTTTCTAAAGTCATCTTCATCACATTAACTATTAGCATATGTACTTGCACATCTTGACAATCCATTTTTACCTTTTTTCCAATTTTGTAAAATTGTGGATTAGACTATTGAGAATTATATATATATATTGGAGAGGCTCGAACTCAAGATTTTTTTGATAAAGAATTTTAGAGAAAGAAAGAACACTAATATTAGTTGATCAGTGATTATTGAAAGGTTGACTCAAGTTATAAATAAATTTATTTTTCATATTTACGAGTCTGAATTCTAAAATATTAATTCAATAAATAAATAAAAAAACCACTTTTTTTTTTTGATAAACTTTTTTTTGTAAATCTTCAGAGAAAAAAGAAAATAAAACCAAACAATTGTGAACATTAATTTTATCCATGTATTATCATTTTAGATTCGAACTAAAAAGATTCATGAGAAAATTTTTCGTGAAATTTTTGTAAAAATTAATGTTAGAATACTTATACAAATAATAAAAAGGAAGGAAAAAAGGAAAGGAAAAAGAACACCTGTGGTTTGGATATATATGACAACTCAATTGTGGGCCTTAGAAGGCCCAAGTAAATATTATAACTGGATCCAAAAAAGCAAAAGCAATTGTGGGCCCCAGAAGGCCCAAGTACATATTAAAACTGTATCCAGAAAAACAAAAGCGAGCCTGTTCACTCTCTCTCTCTCTCTCTCACTCACTTTCAGTTCCTCAAAGCAGCAAAAGAAAATTTGTTTGGTAGAAAGCAAAGCAGTACTTTTGAATGCTGTAAAAGCTACAAACACCTAGTCCTCAAAGAAGAATGGTTTTATATTAACTTTAACAATCTCCATTAAATTTCTTTTGCTTATGGTCACTTAGTGAAAGGCCTCATAATTCATTGTTTGATGCAAAATTTTTTGTCTCTCCTCGAATAAGTTATAAATTAATTACTTAAGTTTTATAAAAGGAATTACTTAGTTTAATTCTGTTTTAAAAATTATTTATTTATTCTTTTCATTCATTTATATTTTTTTCTAATTTTTTTTTCAAAAATAAATAAACAAATAAATGATAAACAGGTCAATCATCCTTATACAATAACTTGAGTCTTCAATTTGTCCATATATTTTTTAATTGCATTTATTATATCTTTAAATATTTTTTAATTATCCAATTCTATTCTCTCGGTCAATTTTTCCGACCATGATCAAATTTTTTTGACCAACATACATTTAATTGGAAAAAAATCACTTAAAATCACATGATATGCATTCTCTATTTTTTTAGTCTAGATTTTTTTTTTCATTTCAATCGGGGATATTTTGATTAAAAATTTACTTATGGTCGAAAAAATTTATCGAAATGACATTTGTTAGATTAATAATTTATTTCTCAAATTGTCTTTTTTTGTTTTACGTCACATTTCTCTCCTTCACCAACTCCTTCTCTCTCTCTCTTCAACTAAAAATTAAAAAAAAAATCATTAATCTATCGAAACTGATAAAAATAAAAAAAAACTAAGTTATTGAAGTAATTAAAACGTGAAGGACTAAACGATTATTTTTTAAAAGAAAAATGATTGATTAATTCATTTCTTTAAACTACGGGAAGTAATTTATAATATACTCAAAATTAAAAAAATTATGAAAAAGTTGATGAGAAAACCAAACATTTTTTTAAATAAAATAATATTACATTAAGCATGGTCAATATTGATCAAAAAATTAAATAATTAATATTCGAAACAAGAGAGACTAATTAATTTGTTTTTCAAAACTAAAGGGATTAATTTATAACTTACCCGTTGAATATGTCAATGTGTCATTGTAAGAAAATAAAAAATGGAAATAAAAGAAATAAAACGTGAGTACCAAGGAAAGCGGTACAGAGCACAAAAAATTAATGTTTGATGCAAATTCTTTAATAAAAAAATAGCACTAGAATAAATTTCCTAGCCCAAGGTTATAACTATGAAATTCTTACCAAACATAAATTTACAGGATTTCAATCAACAGGTTATCTCTAAGATACAGTGATTCAAATTAATCATTTTTTTTTCTGGTTTAATATTGGTATTCAAGTTCTGGGATTGTTCATGATCATTTATGAATGATGCAAACGGTTCTTTAGTTGATGGCATGATAATAGCAAATGACAGGAGATGCTTCTGTGTTCAGAAATCTGAGAAATAATTTGTAGGGTCAAGAGACAAATTCTTGGGCCTTGGCTATACAAATTTATTTGGCTACATGAGTTTGTTCTAGCTGAAATTTTCCAAATAATGAAGAAATTCAGTAAAATTCATGTGGAAATATTGGGATTGATGTCAAATGCCATCTGCTGATGAAGTCTAGGCTTGACAAATCTAAAAATTTCCAACACCAAAGCACTAAAAGCTAAAACCGAAAGTATTCCTACATAAGTCCATTTCCATTTTTCTGCATGCCCTTGATGATGATCAATCCCTTGAAATATGTTGGCTACAATCATGCAAATCAACCCATATCCTAGAATTTTATGGTATATCTTCCACCACCTGCTGCATTCATTTTCTCTCTTCGGTTGCAAGCAGAGAGCAAACATCTGCATTACATTACCAAAGCAATAGCATCAGAGATTAAGATAGAAAATCCTTGAGGAGGGCATTGCAAGTTTAGGCTTAACCTGTACTGTTGCAAATGTGAAAATAATGATGCCAAGATTCCTATGTGTTCTTAAGCTGTTTTGTTTTGAGGAATTCCTAAGCCACATCCCAATGCTCCATCCTAATGCACCAACAATATATCCTAACGTTTGACACAGGACGTGAAGGTTGTACCATTCATCACATTGCAGGGGGATTTTCTGAAGGATCTTGCAACAATTGCCCCGAATGGCAAGAGTGTTCCCCATCCTATGATGTTTAGAGCCCCATGAGTCTGTTTCATGTTCGTCGCGTTAGTATAGCAAGAAAAGTTCAATAAGAGAAAAATATAAAAAATAGAAGTTAAAACATATGAAAATTTCTTTGCAAATTTCTGTAGATTTAACTGCTCTTACATCCCTAAGATGGCGCCTGCGATGCAAAGCTATTTGACCATCCCATGATCGTAGGTTCGTCGTTTCGGCATTCTTGGTTTCGTTCCTCTGCGGTTTGAAGTTTTCCACATTGGAGCTGGCTTGCCACTCATTTGTTCTCCTAACTGTTGTCGCAAGAGAACCCTCATTGCATGAAGAGTTTTGGACACTGAGGATTAAGCTAAGGATTAAAAGACAGTGAGAGCTCATGATCTCTCACTGTCTCAGCAATGAAATTGAAGGAGTTCATGATTCTGAAACATATAAAACTGTATAAAAAGTTCATGTCGCAATAGGCTTGTTGCAAGATTGATGACATGACATCAATCTTTTCTTCAACAGCTGTGACTGTTCAGAATATGTGCTTTTCTTATCAACATAGAGAATCCTGTCTAACTTGAACTAGTAGGTCACAGGACAAAATGAGATATTATTCTGTTCTTTATCGGTCCTTTTGGCAATTATTGCTGCTTGCTTTCCAGTCTGTTCTTGTAAATTAATTATGTTGGGAAAAAAAAAAAAAATTGGGGGTGAAAATCGAAAACTCTAAAGTTAAACAGTCGCCTGAGATTGAAATTATTTGCTTGGAGTCATTTTGATGTCTATTTTACTTTTCCTTGGGGAGGTCAACTTTTCTTTAAATTTAATCAACTTATTTTTTGTTTAAAGATGTTTAGTGATTTCTAAGCAGTTTAATGAACCAAGACAACACAGAGAAAGCAAAACTTGTAAATTCAATTTCATAATGTCAACTCTCATACAAAAATTTCTCTATAAAATCTCATCTCCTATCAAAATAATTCTCATCCACCTAATCTTTGTTTCATACTAGAAGTCATGAAGTTGCTAAAACTCTTCCTCGCTCTCTCAGCAACAATAGCTACCGTTGCAGCTTTGCATTTAGACAATTACAATGAAAAATCAAGCAAGCAAAGTGAACTCTCATTGTCTGAAATCCAAGAAGGAACTTCCTTACGAGGGGTTGGCCGCTTCCTGGCTCAACAAAACCTGAAAACAAATCTGAAATGCAATAAGTTCCCGCGAATTTGTCGACAGAAAACAAGTCCAGGACCAGATTGCTGCAGCAAGAAATGTGTTAATGTGAAGAAGGACCGATTGAACTGTGGTAGGTGTGGCCACAAGTGCAAGTACACTGAAACATGCTGCAAGGGACAGTGTGTAAACGCATCGTTCGATAAAAGACATTGCGGTGGATGCAATAAGAAGTGCAAGAAAGGGGAATTTTGTGTTTATGGGATGTGTAGCTATGCATGATTGCTTCACAAACTTTATAGTTTTCTGATGTATACATTTTCTTGTTTCTGCAAAATTGACTCTCTTGCTTCAAAAAGCATCGTGGTGCAGCTGGGTGGCTCATTGATGCCACCTCACCACTTTATGAGAGTATAGTTGTAATCTTACAAATCAAAGTATAAACGTTACAGAATGAGCAATATTTACAGAAGCATAACCTTGCAAGTCTACTTATGGAAAATTCAACTTAATCTTCGATTCTGGTGTTGGAGAATGGGCAAAGAATTTTCACTTTCATGTTAGTGATCAGCCAAAAATTCTAAACATTCTTCATCAAAATTAATGTTTTCAGTAAATAAATTCCTTCTAAGATTTGAACACGAAATCTACTTATGGAAATCCCAAGTTCTAACCGTTTGATTTATTTCTGGAGATTTGACGTCCTAACTTGTTCTATACTTTTACGAGTGAAACAATTGCCAACCTAAATTAAAGAAAGAGAAAAGTGATACTTAATATATTAATATAGCTAGAAAGTCAAAGGTGCATTCCCTGATCAATGGTTTAGCACATCAGCTGGCATTTGCTTCAACTCTAAGCAAAACCACAAGCATCTTATTAGGATCAAACTAAGCATGTGCATAAGAAAGGTACGTACACAGGATGAAGTTGTTTCTTCTTGATGCAAGTTAATAAGAAAGGAAGTAATTGCTGCATAGCCTCCACAAGTCAGGCTTCATCTCTTTTTGTCACGGATTATTGGCAACTATTAAAGGAGAAGTTGATGGAGGATTAAATAAATAAAGTACAATAAAATAATGTTGCAGTACGTGCATTGGACCTTTTTGTCACGTATGAAAGTTCTGGGTCATCGCATAATTGCCAGATAGCCAAACTGTGGAGAAATATTAATTTAGACACAACTATACTTTGGAAATCACGAAAAGTCAGAAAATAATAGAGAATCCCAATCCATATTCTTTTTGGAAAGGATATTGCAAAATGCCTTCTCGTAATTTCAAAGGTAAAGAAAGAAAGTGGTTCTATAACTGACTAAGATTTCAGAGATCAGTGGTGGAAAAAAAAATGAAAATTGATGCTCTAAACTCTAAAGCTTATCAGCAATGTGGGCCGCAGCCTGTGGGCTTTGAATTGGTCTAAACTGTGGAAAAAGCCTGCACTTATATATGAGTTGATCCATCATGCTTTTCTATCGTTCATATTTTAGGTTCTTCTCCTCTTCCCAATTTCCTATTTTTTTCATCTCAGCTACGGAAAAATCAATATTTGGACCTAATTCTGTTAATTACTTGACACTTTTGGCCACTGAAGAAAAAGACATCCATTATAGAAAAAAATGGAAAAAATTCCCCATATAGCTTCTATAAATACCTTCACATTAACTTCCCTCTCTTCACCAACAAGCTAGCATCATTATTTATAATTATCTCACCCTCTCGAACACAAAGGTCCCTAGCCATGAACTCATCAAAAATTTTGTTTACCTTGCTAGTGCTTATGGCCTTAGCCAACATTCAATCAGCAACACCAATGGTTAGAAAATCCCAATTTTACATAGAAAACCATAGCACCAATGACCTTCTCTTCCAAAGAGATGAGGAGCAACCACATCTCCTTAGAAATGGTCGTCTTCTAGCCAGTAAAGTGACCAAGACATGTGACAAATACCCCACAATTTCTCGTGCCAAGATATACACAAAAAAAAAAAATAAAATAAAAAAAATAAAAAATAAAAAATTATTTGGATCTTTGATCTGGTAAGAAAAGGAAAAATACATAAAAATTTTGCATAACGAATCTTGAATTATGTTTTATTCTTCTCTTTTATGCTTTCCATCTGTCTAGAATTCTTAACCATCATTGGCAAGGTAGACTCTTAAAACTAATCATAAATAACCAAGTTTTTTATTCTTTAAATAAATTGTAAGGCAAAATACGTAGACCTTGAAGGTTGAATCCCTTATTATATTACAGATCCAAACATCTATCCCAAGTTCTTCAATACCACGCATCACACACAAATCCATGTCAAGAAATTCTAAAAAAAAATGTCATAACAATGAATTCTTTATTTAAAATAGATCCTTAATTTTCCACATTCAAATTCATCATTCACCCAATTTAGAATCGATAGAGAGAACTCTTATTAAAGTGAAAAAAGAAAGAAGCCATGCTGCAAATAAATTCCATAATATTCAAAACCCTAATTCTACTAAATCCATCTACGTCATCAAAAACTAGATTGAAATCAAACTAGAATCAAAATATCATTAATAATTTTCCAATAATCCAAAACTATAATATTAATAGTATGAGAAAGAGAAAGACTAATTAATTTATAACTTTTTTAGGGTTAAGGTTAAGAGAGGGAGAAGCATGCTTAAATGAAATGCCCTCTAAGTTCACATGGCTTAGCTCCACCAACCAAATTCCCTGATTCACTAGTAGCTGAAAGCCCAACCTCCACATTACGACACAGAAGAGTAAGGAGCCCCCAGTCCGTCCGAAAGACACCCATCATCGCTACAGAGTTAGCCTTCAATCCCAAATCAAACCCTACCTTCCCACTTGCTGCCCTGTCCTTATTGATCCCATAAACCACCTGCTCACCAACAAAAGAATCCACAACCGAGAGTCCAACATCAATGGTGGTAGTACTCATGCCGTCTTGTTCTATGACTTGTGCTGGTGCCCTTGTTAACATGTCACTATTGTAAGAAATTAAAGGGTAGAATTCATAGTAAATCTTATCGAATCTACTGTTAGGGTAATGGACTTCAAACGTAGCATTCCAGTTGGCTGTGAGCCTCTGGTGGGCTGGAGAAATTTTGAAGTTTGTGAGAGAAAACGAAGTGATTTCGAATTGCGGTTGTATTACCGGTAGTAATGAATCATACCAACGTAAAAGGAGGAAAAAAACTACTAGGAATGCGCCCGAAACCTTCCAGCAAAATCTATCTGGTAACAAGGATTCCCATGTAAGGAGTAATTCTCTGTAGTGTTTCCATTCTTTCATGATTGATGGTAACAGTGAAAACAGCAAATAGCAATGCAATGGTTATTCTTTCGAGTACTCAACAAATTATAGAATTATATTTATATATATAATCTTATAATACAGATAAAGCTAATGTTGTTAAATCCTAATTAGATAGAAACTCTTCAACGTGTAGGATACATTCTTTTTCTCTTTTTTTTCATTGGTTTGTTAATGATGAAGATATCATACATTAGTTTGTATATATCAAATTAAATGTTTTTCCCGTTAACTTTTAAATAGATTTATTTGTAAGAAATTATTATCTCTCAATCAATTTAACATAGATAAAATTTGTAACAAACGTGAGAGTTTACATATCAATGATGATTAGTTTATTTTATTTTTTATTTTTTTACAGGTCCTAGTGTTCCTTGTAAAAATAAAACCTCAAATTAGCCGCCACCCTAATTTTTTTTATCAATTAATCTATATAACAGTTCTCAATCAAAGTCCTTCTATCTACACATATGGTATAGAATTTGATAATTGAGATTGAGTTTCTCTAAAAAAAATAAAAAACTTAAATCTTGTCATTGATAGCTCATTTATCATCTTATTCCAAATATATATATATATATATATATATATATATATTACTGTATTTATTTAATGTGAGATTGTAAGAAATTAATTAGATACTTAAATTTGAATTTAACTCAAAATTAAATATTGAATTTGAATTAAAAAAAACACCTTAAACTTTATGATGGGTGGTCCAATTAACATTTTTTTTATTAATTTATATTTTTCTATTTGTTCAATATGGAATATAATTTAATACTCTTCTTCATTTGTAAGTCATCTTTTAAGGTCTATCAGATGAATTGAATTTGAGTTATTTTAAAACTTTAATATCATATTGAATTTTATAATTGAGTTTGGATTCAATTCAAAAAACTGAATATTGAGTATCCTATTTAATATATTTTAAATCACTTTAAATTTTTTTATTTAATATTTTTCCAATGCTATTCCTAAAAGAAGAAAGAAGAAGCAGTAGTAGCAGCTAGTGTGGCATAAAGAGAAAGTATTCATGAATTTGTAATTGCCAAGTATTCATAACTACTTGTCGTTCATATCTTTGACCAGGCCCGATTTGCAGGTATATACTCGGCTAGTGGGCATAAGCTGCCTGCCCGGCCCCGTGAGTCTGGACCACTAGATGCCCAAGCCTGGTTTTTTTTTTTTTTTAATTTATGTTACTTTTTACAATAGTTAATTGTATTTTCTGTACTTAATTCATGACCTTTTCTATGTTAAATTAAGTTGGTTGAGATAAAAAGTCCAAGCAATTCACATTCATTATTGTTCTTATGAGTAAATTATAAATTAGCCCTTTTATTTTTGAAAAACAAATTAATTAGTTTTTTTATTTAAAAAAAATTAATTATTTAGTCTTTATGCTTTTAGATCTATTTATAACTTAATTTAATTTTTTTAAGAAATATAATTAAAAAAACATCAAAAGATTGGTGAAAAAAAGAGCCCGAGAGATTGAATTAACAGAGAAATCAAGCAAGGAAGTTGATAGCTAAATTTCCCATTTCAGGTTGGCGATATTCAAAAGTGAACCATCCGGGTTGTAGACAAATATATTCTTTGCGATGAATGGTCTGATCTCTAGCCTTCCACTGACGATTTCAAACATTTTATAAAATAAATATAATATTAAATTAATCATGATAAACACTAGTTAAAAAACTTTAGATGTCTTCAGGGATTATGCTCCCTTTCTCTAATTCCTTTTTTGTCCTATATATACATCTGTTTTCTTTGGCATCTGGTTGCCTACAAAGAATTCAGAGTCTCGTTGTTTCCTTTCTGAATTTGCTTTATGAATCCTTTAAGTTTATGCTAATTGGACAGGTTCTGCAAATGCATTTTGACGAAGTTTGGTTTCTGCAATTTTCACCTAATGGAAATTATTTGGCATCATCGTCCAAGGATGAGTCAGCAATCATATGGGAGGTAAATGTTTCTTTTTATTCTTCTTCTCAAATAAAACAATAATATTATGCTTCTTCTTCATATTCTTCTTCTTCCACATTCAGGTTACAGACGGCGGTGTAGTGTCATTCAAGCATATACTGGGTCATCAGAAACCAGTTTTGACTGTTTCATGGATCCCAAATGATGAGAAACTACTTACTTGTGGCGAAGAAGAGGTTATCAAACGATGGGATGTTAATTCGGGACGGTTGCTCCATATTTATGTGAAAACTGGTGTTGGTTTCATTTCCTGTACATGGTGTCCTGTTGGGTTTATACTTGCTGGTACAACGGACGAGAGCATCAGCCTGTGGAATTTTGAAGGAGAGGAGCTGGATTGTTGGAAAGACGAAACACTCAGGGTGTCGGAAATGGCCGTAACTGAAGATGGAACTAGGATCCTAAGCATATACCAAAAAAGATCCATAGCTGTGATTGACAGGAAAACGAAAGAGCTTTTGAAACTGCTTCCGCAAGCGAATGTGATTACTTCCTTCTCGTTATCGAAAGACAACAATACCTTCTGGCTAATCTGATAAACCAAGAAATCCGTCTGTGGTGTATGATAGAAGGTTATGAGAAATTTATGGCCGGATATGTAGGTCATACAAGATCCCGATTTATCAACAGATCTTGTTTTGGTGGATAGAAGAAACATTCATTGCAAGTGGAACTGAGGATTCTCAGGTACGTCCTGTCATGCATTTTCTATGTAATAAACCTGAGCTAAAATACTGAAGGCGGTAATCACTTGAAAAAACTGTTTTAACTTCCCAGATATTTTCTATTAATTGCAGGTGTACATATGGCATAGAGCCAGCGGGATGCCAGTCGTGCGATTGTGGAATGAGCATCCTGGAAGTGTGAACTGTGTGAGCTGGAACCCAGAAAATATTTACATGCTGGATACTGCTAGTGATGATCATAAAATTGTAATATGGTGTCCTCCAAACGACCCTGTCACAGAAGTTGAAAGTGCTGGCCAGGAGATGAGAGGATAAAGTGGGTTTAAATTAAGGAAATAGAAACAAATTCTCAACAGCCATAGCTAGCTAATGTTCAGTTCTCCAACTGATTGCTGATCAGTACTTAATTGGGTGTGTATCATTTTCAAGAAAGTTGAACTATCTCTTCTAAGACCCCAGTTTACGAGTTCTTATGAATTTGTCCTTTTTTAATTCCGTTGGATCTACTCGGAATGTTATCTTCGGAATAGACAAAAGATCTTCAATATGTATAACTTAGTTTCTCTATAAAATAACTAATATTGAAAGAACATTATCTCAATCCGAAGGGATGCAAATAGATATTGCAGAGAGAAAGCAAGTAGTTTCTTTAATGCTACTAGTAGTACATATAATATAATAGGCCAGTACATGCCTCTTTCTCTCTGCCAACTGCCTAAAACCCAAACTTTCTTAATAAAAATAACATCAATAACTGGCCCCTAAAATAAAGAATTAGCAGAGCGAGCAGCCAGTCATCTTCCGTTTAACTTTGGGTGTTGCTTTTGCCTTCTTTTTTTTTTTTTTTTCCTCCTTGTTTTTTTATCGCATTGTCTCCTCTTCCTTCCATTAGTGGTTAGATTTTCATATAATTATATTATAATATACCAATTTTTAATTTTTTTCAATTAAATATACAAATTTTAAATTTTTTATTTATTTATTTGAGTACAGTTTTGAGTATGCAGATTTTTAAAAAAAATATTAATCAAGTATTTTCATTAAATTTTCTTTAATTGATGACATATTTGTGATTTTCAGAATATCAAATTATAATTTTATTTTATTATTTCTCTTAGTTTTTTTTCTTATGTTAGACTGACATTAAAAATAAATAAAAAAAAATTAGTTTCAATTGATACAAAAAAAAAAAAAAAATCTGAATGTGCCCACAACATATATATATATATATATAACTACATAAACTAAAATCATTAGAATTCAAAATGGCTTCATTGGAAAAAAAAACTACTTGATATACAAGCACGAGGATATGCTTACTTGTTTTGTATTTATTTATTTATTTTTATCCTGAAGTTGTAAACATGTATAAACTCAACTCCAATCTTATGCCAAAGCGTGATGTTGGAATGATTATGGTCAACCCAAAAACCATGAAAAACAGACCACAGTGGGTTAGACGTTTAATTAAGATTTGAAGACAATATTCTCTAATATATGTGATTAAGGAAGGTCAAAACAGCAGAACTATCAGAAAGTGCTCCCATAACGGTTTTCCAAGTTCGTCAAACAGGCAGGGTTCTAATTTGTACGATTTGTTTGTCAAACGTGGGCTAAAGGTGTGGTTGCCAAAAGGAGTCAAATAATTTGTGTTGACAAATTATGGCTGCAAGTTCTCATAACCAATCTAATATGTTCTAAGTCAGAAGTTTTAGAGTTTAACAGTGAATGGACATATATGTCTAAATGTTCAGAACATTAGTTTGCATGAGAGAAAAATGATTTCAACCTCTCAAACAAAAGAACTGAATTGAAACTAAGGATTTTTTTTCCTGTCAATTGATGTTTCTAGGTACGTACGCCATTGCATTTGTGCAATATCGCCTAAATTTGGTTAACGTGAGAAAAAGATTTAATAATAACCCAAAAAAAAATCCGGGATGTAAATCATAATAATAATTAAAAAAAAAAAAGCAATCAAAAACTCATAATAGTTTAGAACTAATTGCCCACAAATTAATTATGGTATGAAAGTTACAATTATTCTTGCTTTTTAACTCCTATTTTATATCATGCATATATGCATGTACTTGCCAAGAATGAAGGAACAACACACGATGAATGCTGAAGGTAATCAATTGCCAATTATACAAGGAATGCTTTGAAAGATATGTTTTCTACGTGTGAAAGAAATTGATAGCTAGTAACGAAGAGAAGCTTCACCTACCTAATTCTAGACCTATCTTAAATATAATATTCTTCAAAAGCCTAACCTGGTTTACCACTTGATTTTGATAACAACTTAGAAAAAAGTTGAATAAGACCACTCCACTACCAGCACACAATGTGAGAAAGCATGCTTTTTCCTTTCAATTCGACTCCTTTCCTGCGATCAAAAACCCTATATAAATACCTCATCAAGTCTTCATTCTTCTCCATCAAAGCATCCATTTCTAAACCCCTCTCAGCCTTTCCTCCATCAATCTCTTCTTGAGCTATAGTTTACTTGATCAGAATTTACAATCCACGCAACATGAAGTTTCTTAAGCTATTCTTTCTCCTAACTATGCTCATTTCTTTAGCCATTACTCTTTCGGCTACACCGTCTGAAGAAGAATCATTCCTTCACTTCGATAACGAAGATGAGGAAAATACTGACCTTCCTCAGCCTGAGAACCAAGAAACAGCGTCATCTTTTCGAGGGACGAACCGCATTCTATTCCAGAAACGAGGTGTCATGACATGTAATAAGTACCCTAGGGTTTGTCGTATCAAGGGCAGCCCTGGGCCGGATTGCTGCAAGAGGAAGTGTGTGAATGTAATGACAGACAAGCTCAACTGTGGGAGGTGCGGTAAGAAGTGCAAGTACCCAGAGATTTGCTGCAAAGGTCAGTGTGTGAACCCAATGTCTAACAAGAAACATTGTGGGGGTTGCCGCAGCAAGTGCAAGAAAGGGAGTACATGTCAGTACGGGATGTGCAGTTATGCATAGAAATGCATGGTGCCATGCATGTCTGTATGTATATATTCCATATGGGACGAAACAAGTAGAGGTTTGTGGCTTAAAAATGATTATGTTTGCAGTAGAGAGATCTACATTTATACATGTAGTTAGTAGAATAGTAGTTTGTGTGAAGAATAAAAGCGAACCATCATCGGTTACGCTAGGGTTTGTTTATTCTTTCAATTCGATGGCATAATGCAAGAAGGAATGTATCCTTAATTCTTGATTTGGTTCCAGTAAATTGTACTAAATTATAAGTTTTATATCTAGTCCTTTTCTAGTTTAAATAAGACTATAGTAGAATTATTTTGAATTCGGATTATTTGGCGTTTCTATCGTAATCTGGATTACTATATATTTGACTCTAATAGTAAAATATTGAATTCAAAAGGTTATGTACAAGTCAACCCATAGGTTGAATTTTTTAAAAATTTTTATATAAAATGAATTGGAATATTTTTATAACATCAATATTTTCACATAAATATTATTAGAGCATATAATATTAATGTATAAAGTTGAGAAAGAATCTACAATACTTAAGTTTTTTGAATAAAAGTCAATCTCAACTATCTAATTATGGTTTTCTTCTTCTTTTTTTCTTTGTTATAAATGAGAGTTTTGAATTCACGACCTCTTATTGGAAGAAAACAACACCAATATATAGCAGTTGAGCTACAACTTATTGTCATATTTTCTCGTTTTAATTAGGAGCTTAAAGGAAAGGAAATGGAATGAAAATAACAGGAAAATTTCTCTTTTGTTCCTACTAATTAATGTTTTAATTTTCTTTCCTTCTCTATTCTCTTCTCGTTTTCAAATAAAGAAAAAAAAAACGTTTTTCCACATTCTTCTTTCTTCCATTTTTCTCTAGCCTAAATATAAGGAGAAAAAATTTCTTCCCTCCTATATTTTCTCTCTATTTGCATCCAATCTTTTGAACTCCACTCTTCAAAACACATTTTAATTTCTATTTTAAAATAGGGTTAATTATTCGTGGCTCCATCCAATTTTATTAAAGGATCATCTCACCTAAAAGTTTAAGCTTATAAGTGAGACCCCAAAAGCTTAAGCTTATAAGTGAGGCTCCAGAATATAATTTATATTAATCTTTCATACGTCCTCTCAAATAAAAGCCTCAACATTTGAGCTTGAAACTTGCACGAGCTTTGTGCTTAATACTTGAAAAATTGAAGATGGTGAGATTTGAATTCAAGAATTTTTGATCAACTAAGCTCCGATATCATATTAAAAGATAATATCACCTAAAAGCTTAAACTTATAAGTGAGACCCCAGAATATAATTTATATTAGTCTCGAACAAGCTTAATAACAACTTAAAATTGAGCCAAATTTCCATATGGCCAAAAAATAAAAAATAAACGAAAAACAAGTTCCAATGATGGGCTAAAAGCTTAAGCTACGAAGATAATGTTGTCTAACATTTCTAATCAATGTCAAAAGAGACTGAGGAAGTGCTCTAATAACGGTTTTTCAAGTTTGTCAAGCAAGCAAGGTTCTAATTTGTGCCAATTGTTTGAGAAAATGGAGGAAGAAACGTGGGCATGAAGATCTGGTTGCCGAAAACGAGTCAAATAATTTGTGTTGCCAAATTATGGCTGCAAGTTCCAATAACTTTAAGAGTTTAAATGCATGATTAATGGTATCGATACTAATTGTTAATAATTAATAGCAACTAGCAAACAAAATTAGTTGTACGGCAATGGATTGGACTCATGTCAAGTGCGTTAAGTTAGAAGTAACACGATATATCATATTAGATAAATTTATATCGTTGATTGTAAAATCAACAATGAGGATTTTTTTTATTGAAATAATAATAATAATAATTTTAAAAAAATTGTAAGCATCCACTAATTTAATGACACAAAATCCATTTTGTCTAATAATCTTGAAGAAGATCAAAATAAAGACTGAGAAATTGCACCCATAACGGTTTTTTAAGTTTGTCAAATACTCTGGGTTCCTTGTACGATTTGCTTGAGAAAAAAATGGAACAACAAAAGTCGGCTGAAGATGGTTGCTCAAAAGGAGTACTATAATAATCTTGAGCCCTCCTAATTAGGAATGCTTTGGAAGATATGTTTTTTACGTGTGAAAGCAATTGATAACTAGTAACGAAGAGGAGATTCACCTACCTAGCTAATCCTAGACCTAATTTAAATATAATATTCTTCAAAAGCCTAACTTGGTTTACTACTAGATTTTGATAACAACTTAGAAAAAAAGTTGAATTAGACCACTCCACTACGAGCACACAATATGAGAAACCATGCAATTTCCTTTCAATTCGACTTCTTTTCCTACGATCAAAAACCCTATATAAATACCTCATCAAGTCTTCATTCTTCTCCATTAAAGCATCCATTTCTAAACCCCTCTCAGCCTCTCCTCCATCAGTCTCTTCTTGAGCTATAGTTTACTTGATCAGAATTTACAATCCACGCAACATGAAGTTTCTGAAGCTATTCTTTCTCCTAACTATGCTTATTTCTTTAGCCATTACTCTTTCGGCTACACCGTCTGAAGAAGAATCGTTCCTTGACTTCGGTAACGAAGATGAGGAAAATGCTGACCTTCCTCAGCCTGAGAACCAAGAAACAGCTTCATCTTTTCGAGGGACGAACCGCATTCTATCCCAGAAACGAGGTTTCATGACATGTAATAAGTACCCTAGGGTTTGTCGTATCAAGGGCAGCCCTGGGCCGGATTGCTGCAAGAGGAAGTGTGTGAATGTAATGACAGACAAGCTCAACTGTGGGAGGTGCGGTAAGAAGTGCAAGTACCCAGAGATTTGCTGCAAAGGTCAGTGTGTGAACCCAATGTCTAACAAGAAACATTGTGGGGGTTGCCGCAACAAGTGCAAGAAAGGGAGTACATGTCAGTATGGGATGTGCAGTTATGCATAGAAATGCATGGTGCCATGCATGCCCGTATATATATATATATATAGTATGTGTGAAGAATAAAGGCGATCCATCATCCGGGTTCGCTAGGGTTTGTTTATTCTATCAATTCAATTCCATAATGCAAGAAGGGATATATCCTTAATTCTTGATTTGTTTCAAATTAATCTCCATAAGTCATAACGTTTATATTTAGTCCTTTTCTAGTTTAAATAAGACTAAAGTGGAATTATTTTGAATTCGGTGTATTTGATGTTCTACTTGTATCGAGATCTGGATTACTATATATTTGACTCTAATTTTCTATTTTTATTTTATTTTTTTATAAAAAGAATTCGAATATTTTTATCGCATTAATATTTCCACATAAATATGAATGAAGAAAGCCTCGCAAATGAATTTATCTAAAGCTATATGTGTACACATGCTTGTATGATATATATCAATGAAAATTAATAAATAAAACAATTCATCAAAGAGATAAAAATAAATATCAGTGATGTCTATTCTTCTTCCAATATAATGGAAATTAAACTTAAAAAGTGCACTTCTAATCTTGCCAAGATTTATAAATCATTACAACTTAGAGCCTGGATATTACATATATATAGAGGACGGAATCATAAAATGTAGTTAAATTGATATTATTATTACCCCTGTTTCAAGTTTCGAGTTTGAACCTCTTTTTTATAATATATAACCTCTGGTTCAAGGAAGTTTCGAGTTCGAACCACTTTTTTTTTTTTTTTTTGTGATTGATATATATATGTGTGTGTGTGTGTGTTCCTACTCTTTTGAGCTAGCTCATCTCTCCAAAAGACTTTTTTTCAGTTTAAAATAAGGTTAATTATCCGTGTCTCCACCCAGCTTACTAATAAGCTTAAAATTGAACCAAGTTGCCATAAGGCCAAAAAAAAAAAAAAAAAAAAAAATTCCCATGACGAGCTAAAAGCCTAGGATACGAAGATAATGTTGTGCAACGATCCGGATCAATGTCAAAAGAGACTATGAGAAAGTGCTGCAATAACGGTTTTTCAAGTTCGTCAAACAGACAGATTCTAATTCGTACCATTTGTTTGAGAAAAATGGAACAAGAAACGTGGGCTAATTAAGATGTGGTTGGCCAAAAGGAATCAAATAATTTGTGTTGACAAATTGTGGCTGCAAGCCTTAATAACCAATTTAATATGAACTAAGTCAAAAGTCATAGAGTTTAGATGCCTGATTAATGGTATATTGATACTAATTGTGAATAATTAATAGCAACTAGCAGCCAAAATTAGTTTGTACGTCAGCAGATTGGGCTCTCGTTAAGTTAAGAATAACATAATCTATCATATTATGTAAATTCAGATCATTAATTTTGAAATCAAAGGTTACGATTTTTTTAATAAAAAAAATAATTGCCAAATTTAAAAGAATTTTAATGTCTCACTTGGTAAAATGAAATCCATTTTGTCTAACAATCTTAAGAAGGTCAAAAGAAAGACTGAGAAAGTGCACCCATAACGGTTTTTCAAGTTTGTCAAATACGCTGGGTTCCTTGTACCATTTGCTTGAGAAAAATGGAACCAGAAAAGTCGGCTGAAGCTGGTTGCCGAATAGGAGTCTAATAATCTTGAGCCCTCCTAAGAATCGAAAATATTGTGAACCATTAAGGATCTTACATTCAATTTCATGGTAATTATATATGAGAAAGAGGTAAATAAGCTACAAAATAAAAATCTTAATGGAATCCAAAACTAAAATAACCATGAAAGGATGTTGTTCAATTTTCATTAGTTATAGTTGATTAGGCATAATTAATTTTTAATTGTATCAAACTTGGATAACTTGACTTAAAAATACAACTCATTAATGGATAAAAAATTATACGTGTTCTGTTGATATTTTATAATTATCCTTGCCTTTTGCCATTAATGTTACATCATGAATTTACTTGTCAAGAATGCAAAAATATAATGTGTTAAAGGTAATCAATTACCGTGCTTGCAAAAATATTTCGTCTACGTGAAAGAAATTGCTTAATATCTAGTACATGAGGAGGAGACTTATCGAGAGATTTTATAATATATAAGGAGTAATTAGTATTATGTATAATAATTACTTTTTGAGTTTACTTTGAGGAGATAGATAGACATAAAAAAGAGAGAAAATAAAAAAATTTAAATGAACATAGAAATCTTTTTATCACTTTTGGTGGATATGGATATAATTTCTTTTTTTTTCTATATGTCTATCTTTCCTCTCAAAGTAAATCCGAGAAGTAACTATTATATATATCATTAGTTATTTTTTGTGTATTATAAAAGTTTTTGAGACTTTCCTACCTAATCTTGGTGGTATAATTTCTCATCTAATTCGGACCTAATTTTGACATAGAATATTCTTTAAAAGCCTAACTTGGTATACCTTGAGTTTGATTAGAACTCTTAAGGCCGTTGAATAAGACCACTCCACTAGTAGCACAAAATACGAGAAACCATGCAATTTCCTCCAATCAAAGAGGAGAATAGCTCCTTCAATTTCTTCTCTATAAATGCCTCCAAAATTCTCCATTCTTCTCCATCCAAAGCATCTCAAGCTATATTTTACTTGCGTGCACTACTTGTAACACACACCATGAAGTTTCTTAAGATATTCTTTTGACTAGTAATACTCATGTCTTTAACCATTACCTTCTACGCTAAACCATCCGAAGAAGAATCATCTCTTGACTTCGGTAACAACGAATATGGGGAAACTTATGTTCTTCCCCGGCTCGATCGAACCAGGAAACTATTAACTTCATGTTTGAGAGGGCTAAACCGCTTTCTATCCCGGATTCGGGTTGCCATGACATGTGACAAGTACGTACCCTAGGGTTTGTCGTGTTAAGGGTAGCCCGGGACCGGATTCGTTGCGAGAAGAAGTGTGTGAATGTAATGACGGACGGGACCAAGCTGTGGAATGTGTGGTAAGAAGTGCAAGTACCGGAGATTTGTTGCAAAGGTCGGTGTGTGAATCCAATGTCTAACAAGAAGAATTGTGGAGGTTGCAATAACAAGCGCAAGAAAGGTAGTTCGTGTGTGTGTCATAACCCAAATTTTCCTTTAAAGGAAAAAATAAAACAAAAAACAAAAAAAAGAATAATATAAAAAAAAAAACAAAAAAGGAAAAAATATAAAATCTCCAAAATATATGTTGAAATCTTCCATCGATTTTTTTTTAATTAGAATCTCCTTATTTTTAGCTAGAAAAATCTCAAATTTAAGATTCGATAATTAAAATTTGATTTGATTTTGGGAGAAATTTTAGGATGTTTTCGGCCTATAAAAAGCTTTCGGATTCCAATTTGCGAAGGGGAGAAGGGGAAAAAAAAAGAAAGAAAAAACGCAGCCAAAAAAAAAAAAAAAAAGCCGAAAACCTAAAAAGAGGAAGGCAAACACGTCCTAACCCATCAAACCGGACCCGAGTACCCGTTAACCCGTCCGAAACCTTTGAGCCTCAATTGATCGTTTTCCAATCAGATTTTGACCCCGATCAACACACCCACGTGTAGACCATCACTAGATCAACCGATCCATACCCATTAGAGAGAGAAAACCCACGAAGGAGAGAGAAATTGAAGTTTAAACCACCACGACCCGACCCGAAAACGATACCCGATCGTTTCTCTCAACTCCGGTCACCAACACAAGATCCATCACCACGGACATGATCGCCCATCTCCTCCGAGTAATTCCATTTAAACATCTCGATCCAACGACACCGGAAAACGAGTTTAATTGAGGTCAACCCGTTTTCGACCCGTTTTGAAAAACCCAAAAAAATTGATCGATCTAGGCCAAATTGAAGGTTGTAACCACCACAAAACTTCTTCTCTCAACCTCGAAGAGTCGATCGGTGTGCTTGGAATCCCGAGAAGAGGTCGGATTCATCGTCGGTGAAGAAGAGAGATCCGACCGAACCTTTGGAGGCTCCGATCTCCCTCCTCCGACGTCTTCTCCGGTCGATAACACCACCATTGGACTCGCAACGATCTGATCTACAAGTCCGGGTGGTCCACGTGCCCGAACGATCACCAAAAGGCGAACGGTCACTTGGCGGTGACTCTTGGCATTCCAAGGGCATTTTGGTAATTTTACAATATAGGTGAATTTTGTATTGCTTGATTTATTTTATGTGTTTTGTAGCTTTGTTTTTATTATTTTACATATGTATGTTAGAAAATTTGAAGATACATAGTTGTGAAATTTATTTTAACATGAAATTTTTTTATGATTAAAATATTGTATCAACGAGTCTCCTATTTATTAGGGACGGACGATGATTTCGATATATTTAATTTTTTTGAAACTTGTTTCATTTGATTTTAGTTAATTAAAATTTTAAATTTTTCTTTAAAAATAAAAAAATAAAAATATTTTTTTTTCTCGACGAAGTCTCCTATTTAATAGGGACCGACGTCATCGAAAATCTAAAATTCTCAACGAAGTCTCCTATCCGATTGGGACCGACATCACCAAAAAAAAATTATTTTTTAAATCAAAATATCCTCCGACACACCGGTTGTGTTAAGGTTTAAAGTGGATCCAATGTTTGAATCGATGTGTCGCCCGACGATCGTTTCAATACGATGCCACGCTCAAAACTAAAAATTCAATTTATCTATAAAAAAAAATTAGAAGATTAAGAGTCAGAAAATAATTTGACGTAAATAAAATATTTTAGGAGATAAATTTAGAGCTAAACCGGACGTGGTACCTTTTTTCGAAAAGGGCGCTTTTGGATGATCGATATCTTCCCAAAAGCGTAACCAACTCCTTACCATAGAATCTCCGAACCGATTAATCCGTTTTAGGTTCCTAGTTCCTTCAATACTAGGTGGCGACTCCAAACTCTATAAATAAACTTGTAAATATTCAATCTAATTTTAGATATTTTTCGAGAAGTCCCGTCCGACATCGGGTAGCGACGGAATGGCGACTCCACTTAGGGACTAGAGTTATGCCATAGGTTTAGTTTTTAATTTATCTCCTACGTTTATTTTTGTCAATTTATTTTCTGAGTTTTATTTATTTATTGATTAGTTTGTGTATATATGTAAATTTTTATCATTTATTTTTCTTTTCGCTACACGTTTATTTTGAATTGGGTTGAATGCTTTTTCTTTTAACTGTTGCACACACCACGAAGGAAAACCCTAAAAGCTCGGACCCGAGCTGAACCCTAATAAGAATTAGATAGAGTGATTTGGAGGCGAGTTTGATGAAAGTCTACCGATGCTCTTCCAAACTCTCGTTTAGATCGAAACTCACCCTATACATTGAAAATTATGGAATAACCTTCCCCTACCTCCTAACGTATAAGGTTAGAGGTTGGATTACCCCACCGGTAATTTAGGCGAGTCTAGAGGCTTGAAAATCTTTAGGACTAGTCGAGCTTTGCCCAACCATAGAAAAGCTAGATCTTGTCTACTAGGGTTGACCCAATTAAGACACGAATTCATTGTCAAATGATGTTGAAACTAACCCTTGATATTCCAAGGGTATTTTTATAATTTTCAATAAAGGTTATCCTTCGTATTAAATCATGACCGAAGAAGTCGAAACAAGGTCGAGGATTTTAGATCGGATTTGAGCGGGCTCGAAATGATGAAGGAGATTGTATGCCCTTGAATTTCGTGTTGAGACTACGAAAAAAAAAGGGATTTTACCCTTCGTGTGCTTATAATAGGAGTGGCTTCATCATTTCAAAGTCAAGTCACCGTTGAGATTGGGGGCATATATATCTCCCTAATCGCCCAAGTATCCGTAGGGCAATTTTGCCCTCGGCGAGTACTAGCTCGGTCTAATCCATCCTCGACAGGATTCCGCCATGATTTAACAAGCAACAAAGTAAAGAAAAGGTTTCCAACCCAGTTCAAAAGCATGCATTTGCATTAAGTATTTATTTGTATATATTTATTTTGCATAAAGTGAAGTAAACATAGGTCGTTCCACTCAATCCCATCCGCGCGTCTACAACGCTCGACTTCGGACTCGCCAAATGGAGAACGAAGAAAGACCATGACAAGAGCCAATTAGCCAACAAAAGTTTGACATGTTGAAAGAAAGTGTGGCTTGGATGACATCCCTGTTAGAGCAAGCATTAAGAGGGGAGGTAGCTTAAATCAAGGACAACCCGAAGTATAGCATACTCGTTCCATCACCTCATCGGTCGGGGCCTTCCAATCATGCAACTTTTCAGGCCGAAGGTTCACACCCTACTCGGGACATTTGCTTACCCCATGACCCAAGAGTCCCACAAATGCCTCCAGCAGATCATGTAGAAGAGGAAGCTCATGGTCCTAGAGCGAGTTGAAGGCCCAAGTATGGACGGACTTATGGCATTAGAAGAACGCTTAAGAGCAATGCGGGGGAGGACACTTACGATCCGATCAAGGCCTCCGAAATGTGTTTGGTGCCCGATGTAGTGATCCCGAGGAAGTTTAAGGTGCCGGATTTTACTAAATATACCGAAACCCGAGTGTCCTATGACCCACTTAAGGGTATATTGCAGCAAGATGACGAGATGTTGTTCATGATAAAAACTACTCAACATCCGTTGAAATCTTCCATCGATTTTTTTTTAATTAGAATCTCCTTATTTTTAGCTAGAAAAATCTCAAATTTAAGATTCGATAATTAAAATTTGATTTGATTTTGGGAGAAATTTTAGGATGTTTTCGGCCTATAAAAAGCTTTCGGATTTCAATCTACGAAAGGGGAGAAGGGGGAAAAAAAGAAGAAAAAACGCAGCCAAAAAATAAATACCGAAAACCTAAAAAGAGGAAGACAAACACGTCCTAACCCATCAAACCGGACCCGAGTACCCGTTAACCCGTCCAAAACCTTTGAGCCTCAATTGATCGTTTTCTTATCCGATTTTGAGCCCGATCAACACACCCACGTGTATACCATCACTAGATCAATCGATCCATACCCATTAGAGAGAGAAAAACCCACGAGAGGAGAGAGAAATTGAAGTTTAAACCACCACGACCCGACCCGAAAACGATACCCGATCATTTCTCTCAACTCCGGTCACCAACATAAGATCCATCACCACGGACATGATCGCCCATCTCCTCCGAGTAATTCCATTTAAACATCTCGATCCAACGACACCGGAAAATGGTTTAATTGAGGTCAACCCGTTTTCGACCCGTTTTGGAAAACCCGAAAAAATTGACCGATCTAGGCCAAATTGAAGGTTGTAACCACCACGAACTTCTTCTCTCAACCTCGAAGAGTCGATCGGTGTGCTTGGAATCCCGAGAAGAGGTCGGATTCATCGTCGGTGAAGAAGACGGATCCGACCGAACCTTTGGAGGCTTCGATCTCCCTCCTCCGGCGTCTTCTCCTATCGATAACACCACCATTGGACTCGCAACGATCTGATCTACAAGTCCGGGTGGTCCACGCGCACGAACGATCATCGAAAGGCGAACGGTCACTTGGCGGTGACTCTTGGCATTCCAAGGGCATTTTGGTAATTTTACAATATAGGTGAATTTTGTATTGCTTGATTTATTTTATGTGTTTTGTAGCTTTGTTTTTATTATTTTACATATGTATGTTAGAAAATTTGAAGATACATAGTTGTGAAATTTATTTTAACATGAAATTTTTTTATGATTAAAATATTGTATCAACGAGTCTCCTATTTATTAGGAACGGACGATGATTTCGATATATTTAATTTTTTTGAAACTTGTTTCATTTGATTTTAGTTAATTAAAATTTTAATTTTTTCTTTAAAAATAAATAAATAAATAAATAAATAAATATATATATATATATATATATATATATATATATATATATATATATATATATATTCCTCGACGAAGTCTCCTATCTAATAGGGATCGACGTCATCGAAAATCTAAAATTCTCAACGAAATCTCCTATCCGATTGGGACCGACGTCACCAAAAAAAAATTATTTTTTAAATCAAAATATCCTCCGACACACCGGTTGTGTTAAGGTTTAAAGTGGATCCGATGTTTGAATCGACGTGTCGCCCGACGAAGGGGACCGACGATCGTTTCAATACGATGCCACTCTCAAAACTAAAAATTCAATTTATCTAAAAAAAAAAAAGGAAGATTAAGAGTCGAGAAAATAATTTGACGTAAACAAAATATTTTAGGAGATAAATTTAGAGCTAAACCGGATGTGGTACCTTTTTTTCGAAAAGGGCGCTTTTGGATGATTGATATCTTCCCAAAAGCGTAACCAACTCTTTACCATAGAATCTTTGAACCAGGTGTCCATTTTAGGTTCCTAGTTCCTTCAATACTAGGTGGCGACTCCAAACTCCGTAAATAAACTTGTAAATATTCAATCTAATTTTAGATATTTTTCGAGGAGTTCCGTCCGATGTCGGGTAGCGACGAGTATGTATGGTATGTGTAGTTATGCATAGAGAAATTGTGCCATGAAAAGTGTATAAGAGCTAACGGTTTATATAAAGACAAACCATCATCGGGTCATAGCTAGGCTCGCTAGGGTTTATTTATTCTTTCAACATGTAAGAATTGTAAGAAGGATATGGATTTCCTTAATTCTTGATTTATTTAAAGTTAATCATACTAGTTTAAGCCATTAAACTGCTAATGTTTTTAGAAAAAATAGCTCAATTTATTCTTATATAATTAGGCAAGTCTTCAATATATTTTAGAAAATTAAATGAAATAGTTTAGAAATTTAATTAAATGAAATGAGAGAAATCATCAAATGATAAATATCATAATGTTAGTAAGTTTTTTCCAGTGGAGCAGAAAAATTTAGAGTCAATTAATTAGGTGTTGATAGCTCTAAAGATGATAATTGTGTAAATACAGCAACAATATTAGGCAACTATTTATAAATACAGCAACAATATTAGACAAGTATATATAACCAAAAAAAAAATTAGGAAAGCCTTAAAGTTGGAGTAAATTATAAATTAGTCACTTTATTTTCGAGAAATAAATTAATTAATTCCTCTATTTTAAAAAAATTAATAATTAGTCTTTTTTGTCTATTTTATGTTCATTATCAAATTAAAAAATAAATAGATTTTGTTAAAACAAAAAAAAAGATTAAAAAAATATATTTTTTAGAATAAAAAATTATTAAATTAAGCATAGTCGATACAAGTCAAAAGATCAAATAATTAATTTTTAAAATAAAAAATTAATTAATTTGTTTCTTGAAAGTAAAGCGACTAATTTGTAATTTATTCCTTAAAGTTGTGATGAGAAGAAGCCGGCGCAGTCCAAAAATATATGACCAACCGAGCAAAGCTAAAAGATAGCGTGACGTGGGGGTGGGCCGACCCATAAGCTTGGGTATGGGCCGAGTGGCGGTGTGGGGTAGAATTTTTCATTTCCATTTTAATTTTATCCGTAAATTAGGGTAATTCGAAATAAGTATGCATTTGTCCCCTCCAAATAATTATTTATTTTTCCTACATCTCTTAATGATGTTGGTTTTATCGTCAATTTTGCTTTGATTTTGGCCCAACGGTAAAAAGTATGTCTGAATTAGTTTACATAATCAAGTTTAATTTTTTTTCCTAAACCATTTTATAATTACACTTTATACATAACATAATAAAATTTAGAAGAAGAATAAATTTTTATGTGTTGATCTCGATATTTGAAGTGAGAAAAGGCTAATCATAAATTTAATTATATTCAGTTTTGCGTACCCTCTCAAATGTAGAATAATCACAGAGCATATGTAGTATGCTCACTATGTGAGGGTAATATTAGAGGTGAGAACTATTTAGTTTAAATAAAAAAATTCGAATCCAATTGAAGTATCAATTTTGAATCAGTCTTTAATTTATAAATTTAAAAAAAAAAGAAAAAGAATGAATTGATTTTTTTTTTTAGTTTTTTAGTTTGGCTCCGTTTTTGGAATTTTTTATTCAATTTAAACCAAAAACAGTTTTAAAATTTTTATTCTGATTTTTTTATTTTTTTAAGCTTTAAAATAATGTAAATCAATATCTTATCATCATTATAGATATATAATGAATTGATGGTGTTTTTGGTCTCTTTATATTGTTTTTAAAAAATAGGAAAAAATAGGTTTAAACCAAATAATAATTAGGTTCGGATTCAGTTTTTTTTTTTTTGTGGTTATTTGATGTCCAGTTAACCAAAAAAAAAAAATATTAAAAACTAAACAAAAAAAATGATCATTTTTTTTTAATTTTTTTCTTTTTTTTTTTTTAAGTTTTAAAATAGTGCCAAAAAAAAAAAAAAAAAAAACAATACCGTATAATCTTTACATGAATTGATGGTCGTTTTTTGTCTATTTATATTATTTAAAAAAATGGTTTAAACCGAAAATTGATATTTCAGTTCTTAAACCAAAAAATCAATTAATAATTCAATTTAGATTCAGTTTTTATTTTTATAAGTCTAGTTAATTAAAAATCAAACTGAAATTGTTAAAAACTAAACCAAAAAACTAAATTATCACTCCTAGACAGTAACCACATTGTCTATGCAAATAGGAAATGGCTTTGGGATACATTCCTCTTGATCAAGGTAGGGCTACTCATATAGTAGGATGCATGTTTCTAGATTACAAATCTATATAACATAAATATTTTTTTCCAAAACATTCTTCCCATGATCTGATATGATTCGAATCAAGGAATATCATGATCAAGATCCTTAATACATTGTATATTATGATCTTCCCTTAATATATCTACATTGAAGGCTTAGAATTGGCTGGGCAAGGACTTTGATCTCGTGCAACCACGTTTTGTCTAGCCACCAAAACCCCAACAAACAACTTAAACCAAATGTAGCTTAGTCGCTAGATCGTGTTAACTACCTTCTTATACTTCTATATATAATTCTCTTGTTTTTCCATTTGTACCACCCCACCACAAAAACCATGGCCTCACTAGCACATATCGTATTGCTTTCATGTCTTGTTGCATTCTTTGCTTCAACCTTGCAAGATAATTCACTTGACTATGAGCCCAAACCCTTATCAAGCTATCTTCCAAGCAAGTATAAGAAAATCCTGAACGCCATAGACTCGTGTTGGAGGACGGAGTCCAATTGGGCTACCAATCGTCGAGCTTTGGCTGATTGTGCTGTGGGATTTGGCCAAGCTGCAATCGGAGGCAAATATGGGAAAACATACGTTGTCACCAACTCGGACGATGATCCTACCGATCCAAAACCAGGGACGCTTCGATATGGTGCAATCCAAAACGAGCCTCTTTGGATCATTTTTGCCAAAGACATGGTTATTAGACTCGAAAATGAGCTTATGATAAATAGTTTCAAGACCATAGATGGAAGAGGGGCTAATGTGGAGATTACAGACGGACCGTGCCTGAAAATTGAAGGTGTTAGCCATGTTATCATACACGGTATTAGCATTCATGAATGTAAGCAAGGGAAACACGGCCGTGTTAGGAGTAGTCCGACACATGTTGGCGAACGTCAAGGTGCCGATGGTGATGCCATCTCCATTTTTGCTTCTTATAATATTTGGATTGACCATTGCTATCTTGCTCACTGCCTCGATGGCCTAATTGATGTGATTCATGCTTCTACTGCTGTCACTATCTCTAACAACTATTTCACCCAGCATGATAAGGTAGGAAGATAACATTAACTCCCTATTTTCAATAAAATTGGAACGATACCGAGAAGATTAGCGTAGTCCTGCACAAGGATGACAAACTTTTTTCCATTAAAAAAAAAAAATCCACTTTAGGCCTGGCTTCTCATTTCTTAGTAACCAGTTTACTACTAACAGGTGATTCTGCTTGGACACAATGATGAATACACTGCCGATAAAGTTATGAAAGTAACAGTTGCCTTCAATCATTTTGGCCCTGGACTCGTTGAAAGAATGCCAAGGTGAGTTGAATGATCATTAAAATCCCTTGACATCAATGGCTCCAAATCTAACGCAAAAAATGTGTGCAATTCTAATGCAGAGTAAGGTTTGGCTATGCCCATGTTGCCAACAATAGATATGATGAATGGAAAATGTATGCCATTGGTGGCAGTGCTGGTTCAACCATAGTTAGTGAAGGGAACTACTTCATAGCTTCTGATATTTCCTATGCCAAAGAGGTGCGTACATCTTTTTAATAATTCTATGGACAATCTTGTCTCTACGATAAATTATTATACCAATCTGGTAAATCAAGCTAATTACAATGTGTAAGGTCCGATTAAACCTATTATAGACTACTGGACTAGATTCACGTAAAAAATTTCGTCTTTTATAAGAAACTAATGCTTGCAAAGAAATCATGTGTTGTTTTTTGGATAGGTTACCAAGAGAGAGATTGATGGTGGTTGGAAGAATTGGAAATGGAGGTCATCGTCTAAGGATGTATTTATGAATGGGGCTTATTTTGTTCCATCTGGATATGGAAGTTGTGCACCACGTTATTCCAAAGCTCAATCTTTTATAGTTTCTCCAGGAGCTATGGCTCCTGCTTTAACGTCTGATGCTGGCCCTTTAAGCTGTGTTGTTGGTGAAGCATGTTGACACAAGGGACAAGTCATTTATAGTCGAGGATAGCTTGCTTGTAAGGAATTTCAAGACAGACAGACCAAATAATATTGATTTTTTATACTTTTTCCTTAGGTTTTTTTTTTTTAATTGTAATTGTCATTACTAGACGTTTACGTAACTTCTGAAAATTTATAATTATTTTATTGGTTGAAATTTTATTTGTTTGTAAATATGAGTTATTATTAATTTTGAAATCGCCACTTAATATTAAAGGTAATTAAAAACTTAAAATAGACACCGATTAAGAAATTTTAAGATAAAGAGTTAATTTTGCTTTTGCAAAAATATCAATCACCTACAAACATTATTTTTTAGAAAAGTTATCATATCTAATTTCATCCTAAAGTTTATCTCTTAAAAAAAAAATCTATTTTTTGCCAAAATTAATCCTAAATCACAATTCCAAGTTTTATTTTCTAAGCCAATTAATTTTTTTTTATTTTCATTTGTGATATCTTATTGAATCGATCTTCGGATCCAGTCTTCGAGAGTCCCGTTAATTTAAAATCGGATCCAATTTAAAACTCAATATAATCGATAATCGGAGAACGACTTAATTACTAAAATATGATTGATTTGAATTAACATCAGTTTCTATAAAATAGAAAAATTTGTTACTTTTCACCTTGCATTTTCTTTTTTTCTTTTGTTCTTTTTTGTCTTTTTTTACCATCTAATGTTCTCTCTCTCTCTCTCTCTCTCTCTCTCTCTTGTTATCTTTTTTTTTTATCATTTTCTCTTTTTTTCTTTTTTTCTTTTTTTTTTAAATATTTTTTATTGATAGAAAATCGTTATCAGTTCTTAAAAATTAAGTGACCCAATAATTTATCCACCTATTAATTATCTAATCTAATTATCAAAAGAAATTTAATAACTAAGCATTTAACTAAATAAATAAAAAGACACAAGGAACTCAAAAACTCCAAAAAAAAAAAAAAAGAAATTAAATCTAAACTAGGCATAAAATAAAAGACATGCATTAAAATTTCAGAATTAATCTACCAGAAAATTACTAAAATTGAGGTTATTGGACCTTTTAGGCCCACTGAGGCCTCGTTGAGCCAACTGGATAGCCCTTGCTCTTTTTTTCTCTTCAGTTCAGGGCTGGGCTCGACCCAGCCCACTTTCTCCTCTCCCTCTCTTGTTTTTTTGGACTGGGCTAGATCCAGTGCAGTCCCACTCCCCTGGCCTTTTTTTCTTTTTCTTCTCTTTTCCTTTCTTTCTTTCCTCCATCCGCCTTTTCGTCTTCATCCGAATGCACTCCTCTCTCCTTCTTTTTCTCCCTTCTCACTCAAAAACCCCATCTAAAGAAAACACCATCAAGCTAATCACCAAACTAAATACCCCTCATGTTCCATTATCGACGGCTTAAGGGACTTGAACATCAGAAGCTTACCATGGCATGTCACTGCCATTTCTCTTTAAAAATTTTGCAATTCAAGTAACGAAACACTAAGAATTAATGAATAAAATGAACTTAAACTTGAAGTGTGGGTTACCTGAATGAAGGTAAAAGACTGAAAAATGATGGAATTTGGGTGTTGGCACTACTGTTATTGTGATTGATGATGATGACAGGTAGTCTGGGTTTTTGAACAATCACGTGACCTAGAGATTGTGGAGTGTGTTGTCGTGGGTGATTGTGGACTATACAGACCCTGTAATCCTGCATGATGCTTGAAGAACTGGGTTGCTCGTGTTCTTGAAACCCAAAAAACTAAAAATAAAATAAAATAAAAATGTGTGCAGTGTTTGATTTTTTGTGTGGGTGCAGGTGATGCAGCGATGCAGACGGCGCAGGCGTGAAGCACGATTCCTGGCTGGTATGAATGCCAGCCAGGAATTCAGCAGGAAACGAATTTGTTCTCCCGGGAAGAAGAAGATGAACAGTACGGTGGAATTGAATTTGGATTGCAATGAAAGACAGGTCGTTTATGCACTTTTTGGTCCAGTTGTTTGCTCATCAACTTTAATTTAGTCCTTTCGTGTTTCAATTGTTCTCAAATACACCCTTTATGCATGCAATTTTGGACCCTGTTTCTTTCCCATTTTTCAATTGAGTTCTTTTATCTTTTAATTTTAGCTGTAGGGTTTTCAATTGTATACTTAATTATTTCAATTTCAGTCTTAGTTTTATTCAATAACGCCCCTGATTAATCATGTCATGTTATTTTTGTATTTTCTTTTCCTTCCTTCTTTCTTTCTTTCTTTTTTTTTTTTTGTTTTGTTTCTTTCTTTTTTTTTTTTTTTTGTGCTTATAAAAAAAAATAAGTAAAACAAAATCCTAAAACTTGTAAAAATGATTATGAAAAATAAAATAAAGTAAAGTAAATAAAAATAAAATAAAATTAACGAAAATAACAGGAAATAAGTATAACCCAAATGGTGTGAGTTATGATAGTGATGAACATTGGCTTTTGCTTTTTGATGGGTTAATGGTAATGGAAATTTGAATCCTTTTTCTTTTAAACAGATTATACGTAGTAATTTGCACCATGGCCCTCCCATATGTAACCATGAATTGAATTTAATAATAAATAAAATTAGCATAAAAATTATTTAATAATAAACAAAAAAATAGAATGTTAAAAAATTATGAATTTACTGACCTTGTACCTCTAATATATATTAATTATATGGAAGCTTTGAGCTCCTAAAAGAGAAAAATCAAAAAGTATTTAATTATTTATAGCTTGTTCCCAATAATTTAACAATTTTGCAAACCATAAAAAAGAATTAGATTATAAAACTTTAACATAAAATGAAGAAAAGGAAATCTTTTAAAATAACAGAAGAAACCATATTTACCATATCTACTCTTTTTCGTAAACTAGGACCACTACAAATGCCAATCACTTCAATATAGCGTGAGTAGTCCTCTATTGTGAGAGAAAAGCCCACTAAAAAAATCAAGGTCTTCCTAATCCTAGCCAAGCTAGGGCCCTACAATTTTTTTTTTTTTTTTGGTAAAGGCCCTAAATTATTGAGGTTGTGATATAGTTTCTAAAGAAAATGTAATCCACTTTGAAAAATAATTTTAAATGTTTTTAAAGTTGGAGAGTATTTTTTAATAATAAAAATTCAATAAATTATGAAACATAGAAAATAAACTGGAATTATCTCAAATGTTTTGAAAATTCATAAGAAAGTCATATGAATTTACATATATAATTTTGGTGTGGTTTTAAAAATATTTGTAGATGTGGTTTCTAAAATTAACCTATTTAAACTTTGTTTAGGTGTTATTCATTCGACCTTGCAAATATTTTAAAAATTATATTAAAACTAAGCAAATTCGGGATCATTCAAATTATATTCTATTTTTTTATAATTTTGTAAATGTTTAATATTTAAAAAATAAATAAATAAACTTCCTAATCTTAAAAAAAAAAAATTTGAAGTAGATTGAATTTTTATTAGTATATGTAAAATATTTTAGCTCAAAATAACAAAAAAATTAAAATTAAAAGGGATTTTGGTCAATAATAATAGTCGGATAAAATGAACAGAGAATATTTGTTAAAAACATGATAGTTTAAAAATAAAATTGACTAGACGTATAGTAAAAGTCTTAATATATTACAACTGCAATAATTTAGAAGTAAAAGGTACATTGATGCCATTAAACCTATACTTAATGGTCCACAAGGAATTATTGAAACTTCTTAGCAACCCAAAAGGTGGATATAAAACATTAAAATTCTCTAATCTTTTACCCCTAATTATGAGGTCTCAAGTTGAAGTATTATCTTTATCAAATTAATCACTATAATAAAATGTGATGACCTCTAAAATGATTTTTAAATGAAATATTTAGTTGCTAGGTTCGTAATTAGAAGAAGTCGCATAATCTTGATCTAGAAAGTCTACCAACTTTTAGACTTGAACTTTAAGACTTTTTATCTATTAAATTAGTGAACATCAATAACCTAGACCAAATAATGAAGAGTGTGACCAAAATCCCAATATCTAACGTTTTCTCTTTTTCTTATTTTTTTAACGTATCATGAATTTAAAAATCTAAATTAATTCTATATTGTTACATCGGATACATAAGATGAAAATAGTTATTTAGAGAGTTTTTTGCATATACAAGGACTTGAATTCAAAACTATTTACTTAAATTATTAGAGCTACTTCTACTCAAATTAATCCTTTTCGGTGACATTCCCTCTTCCTTTACAGCAAGAAAGAATATCCTTTCAAACCGTATCAAATAATATAGAAGTTTTCTCCTTTTCTTAACATAAATGCCTCTACATTTCTTTCTTCAGACAATTATTCTAGCTTCTGTATCTTGAATTCTTGCCATATTCAATGTACACTTGGAGTGATTTAGTAGCTTTCTAAGTTTTATTTATGATTACAGAGTAGACTTGCTATGTCAATGAGTTTTTTTCCCTAGTTTCTTTCTTCTTCAGGTGAAAAAGTCAACCAGCTTGAGCTCGTGCATCCACGTTTTGTCTAGCCCCCAACAAAAAGCAAATCAAGTTCTTTAGCCTCTAGATCGTGTGACCCACCTTCTCTTGCTCTATAAAAATTCCCATCTTTTATCCATTTTCTTAAATCATCACACTAGCCATGGCCTCACTAGCCCCTCTACTCCTGATTGTGTATCTTGTGCCATACTTATCTTTAACCTTGCCAACTTATGCTCTAGATTATAAGCCTAAAACCTTGAACACCATAGATTCATGCTGGCGTGCGAAATCAAATTGGGCTACCAATCGTCAAGCTTTGGCCAATTGTGCAGTGGCGTTCGGCCGAGGGGCAATGGGAGGGAAATATGGGGCAATATATGTTGTCACTACACCTTCTGATGATCCTGTCAGCCCTAAACCAGGCACACTTCGGTATGGAGTTATCCAAACTAAGCCTCTTTGGATTGTTTTTGCCAAGGATATGGTAATCACACTAAAAAACGAACTTATAATGAATAGTTACAAGACTATAGATGGTAGGGGAGCTAAAGTAAAGATTGCATATGGACCATGCATAACGATCCAAGGTGTTAGCCACATTATTATTCATGGGATTAGCATTCATGATTGCAAACCAGGGAAATCCGGCCGTGTTATTAGCACTCCTACGCACGTCGGGCGGCGTGGAGGCTCCGACGGAGATGGCATTGCTATCTTTGCATCTTCAAATGTTTGGATCGACCATTGTTATCTTGCTCGTTGCACCGATGGCCTAATCGATGTAATCCATGCTTCAACTTCAATCACCATCTCAAACAACTACTTCGCCCAGCATGATAAGGTACTGATGCTATAATTTCCAGTCAAATTTAAAAGTTAATAGTAATTTCTGTAGGATTGGCAGCTAACCAAATTGCACTAACAGGTGATGTTGCTAGGACACAACGATGGCTACACTGCGGATAAAGCTATGAAAGTAACCATAGCTTTCAACCGTTTTGGCTCGGGACTTATCGAGAGGATGCCAAGGTAAGAGAAGCAATTAACTTGATCTTTTTTTTCTTTTTTGAATTAATGGTTTTGATATTAATCAATCTTTATTTTATTTTATCAATCAAATCTAAGATAAAGTTTGCGGCATCGTGTCGCAGGGTAAGGTTTGGCTATGCCCATGTTGCTAACAATAGATATGATGAGTGGCAAATGTATGCAATTGGTGGAAGTGCTAATCCAACCATCTTTAGTGAAGGGAACTATTTCAAAGCTTCTAATGGTGGTTCCAAGCAGGTACAACTTTTTTTTTTTTTTAATGAAAATCGATTAGATTAAAAAAGAGAGGTCAGCCATCTAGCCGATGGTAAAAAAGATTATAAAACAGAAACAAATTAAAAAGACTCAAACTATCTGCAATCATGTTACTTTCTCTGTTAATTCAACTACAGATGATTGACTTTAGACTACAGATAAAAAATTTATACTTATAAAATCATTATGCATTCTCTATATATGGCCTCTCATTAACATCTGGAAGAATCCAAAGCACTGCATTCAGAGAGTCAGATTCTATAATCCAGTTCACATCCTATAAAGATGATGGGAGCAACTTTATCTCCAAGTCTTTATTATAGCCGTTCTATCTCATGACCATCATGCAGAGAACTAGATATTCTTAATTATACCCTATATATGTACAGGGAACTTGTCTTTATTTAAAATGGAGAATGTTTCTTGCATGACAGGTTACCAAGAGAGAGGCCAAGAATGGTTGGAAGAATTGGAAATGGAGATCATCTAAGGATGTATTTATGAATGGTGCTTATTTTGTACAATCTGGATATGGAAGTTGTGCACCACTTTATTCTAAAACTCAATCATTTACTGTTGCTCCTGGATCATCGGTTCCTGCTTTAACATCTGCTGCAGGTCCTCTAAACTGTGTTTGGGGTAAACCATGTTGATGTCATTAAACATTTTGCCAAAACCTGTTGCGCTTTTCCTGTAATTCTATTCTCTCTTCTCTTTTTCCTTCCTTTTTACACCTAATTGAATTGCTAGACATAGCTTCTTGGGAAGCATGTATAAAAAATTTAGCACTTTTGAGAGAACTGTATCCTATACACATGTGATCTGACTGTTATATACAAGCACTTCAAACCGGTCCAATGAGGCATTGTTCCAAGGATGGTTATGGTGTTAACTAGAGGTCCATGTTTGCCAAAACAGATTTTTAAGAGGCAATGTAAAGCAACATGGAAAGAAAAATCAACCAAAAACTGATACTCCAAGAAAAGCAAATTTGTGATCATTATTGTCACAGTTACAATTTCTTAACTTTTGTTTGGTTCATATATATACAGTCCTTTTTCTTTTTAATTCCTTCGACTCTAAGTGTGAGCGTGGTCAACCTAAGCTCATGTTACTTGAAACAATGTGATCAAGCGGCTGTGCCAATTGAGCTCAATAGTGCATTATCTAGCTCTGGCCAAAAGGAGAGGAAAAAGAAAAAGGGAAAGGTGACAGAAATGGGGACACCTTAGCACTCTGGTAGCATTATTTTGTAAACCCAAAAGCAAAAAAATATCTTATAGTAATTTACAATGGAGGATGAATAAACTTGTAAACAAAGAAAACAGATACACGAAGTGGGCTTGTTAAAGTGCAAAAGGCAACTCAATTAATAGGAAAAGAAGAAAAGAGAGTAATTGGTATTCACTTTTGTTGATTTGTTTTCAAAAGAGCCTATTCTCATTGCTCTGAACCCCGCATGTTACTGGTGCTGTGGGTCTCACTTTCTTCCAATACCATAGACCAGCACCAATTCCTATGGCTCCAGCTGCTGAAACTCCAGTTACAGTCCCTGCAAACCACAACAAGAAACATCAAATCAAATAAGCCTCATCTTTCAATTCAATTTCCAAAATATGCCAAAGAAATTTTGAAACTATAAATCATAATTTGACACTTCACCTGCAATGACTCCTGCCTTGTTATGGCCGGTATTGTTGTGATCTGCAAAACAGAAGCAAAATAACTATCGGTTTATGACATTTGCTTTTAAATAGTGGGATCGATGCAGAAGCTTGAACACTAACATACCATTGCAATAAGTTGTGGCATTTGTTCTCTGATTGCATAGACATAAGAAATTCTGAGATTGTGTGTCAAATCCACATGTTCCACCTCCTTTCTTCATGTCTTGACACTGAAGGCAATCTGTAGTCACTGGAATATCAAAATCAACTCTAATACCATACTCAGGTACTTGATCATCAGGAGCATTGACACCAGTTCTCCAATAAATACTAGTATAACTAGCACAATACTTCAACATAAGCCTCAAAGATTCGGTCGCTTTCGGGAAGTAAGAGCAGCAAGAAGAACTAGCACCTAATGCATTAGCACATCCTGGCAAGTGCCTGCAAAGATAACTAGCACTATCACATGTCGAGTCGCAGCGATCAGGAAACCTCTCACAGAAGATGGGTTTTGGCTCAACAATCACTTTCTCTTCACTGCAATTGAAGAAGAGGTAGTCATTTTGAGAGGAGAGTGTTAAGTGTGTGCTTGTGTCAAGGCTAAAAGGCCTAGTTGCACGAAAGTGATGACCATCTTGGCAATTCCACATGAATGGATCAGTGACTATCATGTGAGGATCTGAGTAGCTTATGCTCCGAACTTGGTATCTCCCAGAAGGCGTTCGAAGCTCGAGAAAGCCCGAATCGGTGCATACAAGTACGTGTCTGTAATAAGGACTGCCACAGCCATCATCAATGCCAAAAGGATAGTTTATCGGAATAGTACCACATGTGGTTCTACAATGGCTTGCAGCTTGAGCTTTTGTGAGGCAAAAATATGGAAGAATGAATACAATCAATAGAAAACAAAAGGAATGGTAAAAACAAGAACATGAAGAAGGCTTATAAGCCATTAGAAATGCGATGGAAGTTTTGAATTTTTGATGGTTAATTTCTAGTTTCTATGGTTTAAAGATAGCAAAGAAATGAATAAAGGGAATTGCTTAAAGAGAGTCATAAAGAATACATATCTCTCAAGTGTTCTTTTTCTTTTTCCTTTTCTTTTCTTTTCTTTTTACGTTTGTTTGTTGCTTTGTTTTCACTTGGTTCTTTGCTTTATGGTTTTAGAAGAGAATCTTGAGACATGGGAATGATTGAAGAGCATGTGCCTTATGAAAGCAAAAAATCAAAAACAGAAACAGAAAAGCTAAAGGGATCAGTAATCCCTCTGTTCTTTAACATGTTTATTTTCTTTGGGATGATTTTGGTGAAGAATCAAGATGCATGAAAGTGAGAGTTTCATGGCCACGTATGGAAACGAAGAGGCTAAGCAAAAGGACTGAAACTCTGGATTCTTTCATCTTTGGTCCATACACTACATTCAAGCCCAATAGAAAGATGGTCAGTTGAGGTCCATAGCTGTGGACCAACATTTCTCGCAGAATAAAAGAGCGTAGGACTAAAAGTAGAGGTGATTATTGGGTTTTTTTTTATTCGGTTTTCGGTGAATTTAAAAAAACAAAACCTATGAAATCGAATTATTATTTGACTTTTCAGTTTAAAAACCAAAATTTTGGTTTTTGTTTTTGGATTTTTTTGTTTAAGCTGAAATTTTTCTTCCAATTTTTTAAAACAATGAACCTCAATTAATCACATATCTATGATAATGAAGGCATTGATTTTTTGATTATTTTCATTATTTTAAAACTTCAAAAATTGAAAAAAAAATTAAAAAATCAATTTTTGGTTTAAACCAATCAAAAAATTTCCAGAACCAAACAGAAAAAAAAAAAAAAAAATTAGGTTCGGTTTAAAAAAATAATTAAATATTGAACCAAAATTGATATTTCAATTCAATTAGATTCGGTTTTTCGATTTAAACCAAATGGTACTCACTCAATCACCCCTAACTAGCAGTAGTAAGTTTGTATAGAAATGTGACATGTACTCACAGGATTAATGTCTTAATATGTCTTTATATAATTAGATATACTTCAATCTATCTTTATATCTTTATATGTTTAATTGAATTAATTTTATATTTGAATATAAGTTATGATTTTAACCTATTCTTATGACAAGATTTTTATATTAAATTATTAAAATTAGTCATGTAATTTTTATATGAAATTTTTCTATTTATCTAACTTACAAAAAGAGTTATGAGAATAAAAAATCATGTACAAATTACATGATTAATTATGATGATTTGATTTGAAAATCTCGTCAAATGATTGAAAATTTAATATATATTTAAAAATAAAATTATCTTAATTAAAAATATAAACATAAATTAAAAAATTATCTTATTATAAAGATAGATTTAACGACTAACTCTATATTGATAGTTGTCAATGTTGGATGTGTGCTTTGTTTTAGTATTTATCTCTTCTTCTTAATGTCTGCGTTTCTTGCTTTTTTCTCTTTGGTTTCTTCTCTGATTTTTCTTCCTCTGCCAGATTTCTTTTCTCCTGGTTGAGGGCCGCATTTTTGCTTCATCCGCAGCTAATTATTTCATCCTTAAATTCCAACTTGGACAGAAAATGTAAAATTGAAACGGTAATCGAGTATATTGATTACAATCAAACCTTATTACCAAACCTAATTCGAAATCCGATTTAAACCCAATTTAATATATATTAAATAATAAATAGTTTTTAGATAATAAAAATTAAAATTTAAAGGGTTGAATATAAATATTTAAAATTATAAATGTGTAATTTGTTCATTTGATAGATAATAGATAAGATATGGATATCTAATTTTTTTATTCGACAAATAATAAATTCAATACAAATACTCAAAAACCGACTCCTGCATACCCATTGTCATCCCAAGATTAAGCAAGTATCTTGAGCCGGCCCGCATCTTTCTCGGGCCTAATAACTTCACACCCGTGAGCTTGGGGATTGTTGATGATGGGCTTACGAAGGAACTACAAACTCTAAGAGATTATGAATCAAATTAGATGAGTAATTTTTTGGCCCAGTCCAGGATTTCAGTTTCCAAGTTCAGGCTCTCTTTCTCTCGTTTTTCTTTTATTATTATTATTTAAAAAAAAAGATTTTTAATATTTTTCTTATTTAAAAATTATTTTATTTTTTTGATTTAATTTTTGATTTATTATTTTACCGATTTTATCCTCAAAATAAAATTAAAAAAAAAACTTACAGAGAAAATTAGTGACAAAATAAACTATCAGATTCTATATATTCAACCTTTTTTTTATAAAAAATTATATCCTAATTATTTTTATTGCAGATCTTTATTTATTTATTGGACGGTGAAGCTTCTTTTCTAATAAGGCCTCATTAAATCCCTAGTGTTGGAAACCCACCAACTTGGAGAAAAAAGTACAGAGGCTGCCACAAAATAAATGCATCACATTTAAAAAAAAAAAAAACTATAAAAACGTGTTCTTTTCTAACTTTAAGCGTTAAAATTAAGAAACTCGATCTAGTTGCATTAATTCCATCATGAACTTGAAGAGTATAAGGAAAAGAGTTAGATATGAAACTTTTTGGGGAATAAATTTTTTTTTTCCTCTTGTTTCTAAAAACAAATTAATTAATCTCTTTTGTTATAAAAACTAATTATTTAATTTTTTATTTTATTTTTTTTAATTTTATTTAAAAATTATATATATATTATGAAAAGATTAATGAGAAGAAAAAACAATTCTAAAAAAAATATTATTAAATTAAACATAATCAATACATGTTAAGAAACTAACTAATTAGTTTTGAAAACAAGAAACAGTAATTAATTTATTCTTACAACTAGAGAGATTAATTTATAACTTACTCATTTTGGCTGATTACAACTTTATATATATATATTGCTTTTCTCTTGGATTCATGCTCTCTATATGGTCATTACTTATCCATAGTAGAGAGAAAAATTTATAATTTTCTCAGACTACAACTTAATTTTTTTTTCATTATTATAACTTTTTTTTTTGGCTTTTCTCTTGGATTCATGCTCTATGTATATGGTCATTACGTATCACATATGAATACTAGGTAGATTAATTTATAATTTGTTCCTTTTGAGTATACAACTTAGTTTTTTTTTTTTAATTATTATTATTTTGGCTTTTATCTTGGATTCATGCTCTGTGCGTATCCATTTTGCTTAACAACTAAGGCTGCTAGAAAATTTTAATCCAACCTGTGACAAGAAGGTAAGAGCAGTCAGCCAGCAACCTGACTGTCTGCTTCCTGATCAATTAATGCTGCAGCTAATTGAAGGAGGCTTGAGTCGCATAAAATAACCTAAAAGAGTCACCACAAGTTCATTCAAATCGTCAAAAAAACTAATAAATATATATATATGGTTGCCACATTATTCAAATCAACTCTTTCCATGTTCTTTAATGGTTTCAAAGACTGGACATTGGATTGGAAATGCATGCACGTCCTGTGGCTCATAAATATGTGGGTCACGAGTAGGGCAGTTGGGTTGACAAGGGGTCATGGTTCAATCTACGTTGTTTTTAACATGATTCGAGCAAGTTGGCTTGGAAAAGGATGCTTATTTCTTAGTTGTTAGGGTTTACTTTAAATAAATGAGAACTATAAAAAATAAAATGAAACTTTCATGGAAGAGAGGAAAATGAAAGGCTTTCGTAAAAATTTAAGGAATCGAGAATTAAGTTTTCATTTTGTATATGTCGGATCATAAATTAGTCACTGCATCAAATTTTTTTAAAAAATCTTAATTGTTTCAAATTTCTTTTCTTTTTAAATAAAATACCATAGTTTTGATAGGTTTATCATAATTGATATAAAAAAAGAGATAGAATTGAGAGTTAGTGATTCAATCTATCCTTTTATGGTAAAGTAATTTTTAGTATACTATTATATTTTTGATTGAGTCAATTATATATATATATATATATATATATATATGAGAGAGAGAGAGAGAGAGAGAGAGAGAGAGAGAGAGAGAGAGAGAGTATCAATCTATTTTTCTATGAAGATTTTTTTCAAGTCAAATTACTGAAATTATTTACATTATTTGTATATTATTAATTTAATTTTAAAAATACTTTTAGAAATCAATCAAATAAAAAAATTTATATAAAAATTTTGTGACTAACGAATTTCGACAGAGTAGACTGAAAATATTTAAAAAAAAAAAGATAAATTAGATATTTAATATATATTTAAAAATAAAATTAGTTCAATTAAAATTATACAGATCCAACTATTAATTCAAAATTCAAAATATCTAGAAAATTGAGAGATGAGAGAGGCAATTTGATGTGAATACAAATTGTCAACATGCAAACACCATGAACGGTGCATGAGTACTCAACCTTGAATGGTTGCTTGGTCAGGAAATATGCTCTCATACGTTGAAAAACCTGCATACACTTTGGTTAAAAAACAAAGAACATGCATGACCAAAATTGAATCAAAAGGCGGTCCTGGATTTCAGACCAAATCCCAAGAAATAGTATGAAAGGCATCATTATTTATATTCCTAGAATCTGCTAGCTAGGGAATTTTCGTTTTTCAAAGTCCACCGAAATTGCCTGGTTGTCTATGAAAAGTAGTCATATATGGGCAGCAATATTTTTCAATTCTTTGAGGTCCAAAACGTACCCTTTGATGCAGTACATCCAAGTTCCAACTTTTTTGCTTAGTTCTAGATTGCCGACAATTAGAAGAAAGACATGACTTTACAGTCGACCTTAATTTTTATGTTTTTGCTCTTGTTGAATTGAACGATTTTCAGCCTATCAAAGAACTACGTAGCCTCGTATGGTACTTTTGCCTTTTCCATGAAGAACAAGTATTCCACGTTTCAATTTCAATCAAACCGTGCGAATTGGATAACTATGGTTAAATTACCTAAAAATTATAATTAAATTTTCCTTATACAAATTTATTATTTTCCACCTAAGATA